AACTCTAAAGGTTATCTACACTAAAAATGCACCAGTTCATATAGTTTTGTATATAAGAAAGAATCTTAACATAGTTTATAACAGTAGTTGTGCGTTAAAATTAATTACCAGCTAAATAAATAAATTTAAAAAATGAAAATAATAGTATTATTGGCGTTGATTTCAATAGTTTGTGCGGATTTTGATATCAAAGACTATAAAGATGTGATAAATTCACGAAACTTTACGGGAAAAGTAGTTTTGGTGACCGGAAGTAGTTCTGGAATCGGAGAGGGGATCACAAAACTGTTCTCTATATTAGGGGCCAATGTTGTGGTCACCGGTAGGAAAGCCGATGACGTTCAGAGAGTTGGCAAAGAAGTACAGGAATTGTCGCCAAAGAAACTAAAGGTTTGAATAAATTATATTAATATTTAATTTTATTATTAAATGCAAGTATAATGAATAGCCACTAGAAGTGGTCGGAGATCTAACCAAAAGTGATTTCATTAAACTATTGGTCGGAAATACAATTCAAACATTTGGAAAGTTAGATGTTTTGGTTAATAATGCGGGAATATATCCAGGGACAAACATTACACAAACAGACTTAATGCAAGTCTGGGATCAGGTCTTCGCCATAGACTTGAGAGCAGTCGTCGAACTGATCCACGAATCGGTTCCACATTTGGAGAAAACTAACGGCACTATCATTGATATCTCTAGTATTGGTGGCATAGCACCGGTATATCCAATATTTGCCTATTATTTACAATAATTAAATATTATAAAATTATTTATAATAGTATATCCAAAACCTGGCGTACGGTCCGGCAAAAGCCGGCTTAGATATGTTGACTCGAGTACTGGCCCTCGAATTGGGACCAAAAGGCATTCGTGTCAATACATTGAAGTAATATAAAATTAATGTCCATTTTTGCAGATAATACGTCATACCATTAAATTTTTGATATTATTATAAAATTAAATTTATTATCACTTAAATTATATGACAGTCCGGGCACTATACAAGTGACTGATAAGGTGCTCCCCATATACGATACGTCAAAGGCTGCCACACCACTCAAGCGATTGGGACAACCATTAGATATCGCCAAAGGGGTGGCATTCCTGGCCTCAAGTGATGCCTCATTCATAACCGGCGCTAATCTGGTGGTTGACGGCGGACTTGTCTATAATATGGGTGTATTTAATACCCCTTAAAACTAATTTCTATAAACAACATTTATTTCTATATGTTTTATATAAAAAGTTTTTAATTACAGTAATAAATACTGTAGTTGATAATTAAAGTTCATTATGTATTCAAGATTATTTTTAAATTTTTTTATACAAAATCATATATCAGTGCAAGATTTACCAAAGGTATGTGCGTATTTTCAATACTTTTTAAAACACTATATCTTAAGTGTATTTTGTATTCAGTTATCATGTTTTAATTTTTAATGAAAAATCCCACATACCTTTGGTATATCTTGCACTGATATAATTCATTATAATTTTATACCTGATTTTATTGGATTTAATTTAAATTTATATTTATAGCTACAGTATTATTCTTTAAAATAGCCTTTTAAGTTTTATGTTTAAAATGCAAATGACTAATAATTATTTGCTAATAAAATAGGTAACGTTTAGAAAATAAAATATAGTGATAATTTATCATTTTAATACTTGTTATTACTATTTTTTCATAAATATTGCTTCATTTAAACACCAATGTTCAAGGTACTGATTGACTTGCACCAAAATAGTGCTTACATGATAATACGAGATAATAACTTACAAACTCTAAAGGTTATCTACACTAAAAATGCACCAGTTCATATAGTTTTGTATATAAGAAAGAATCTTAACATAGTTTATAACAGTAGTTGTGCGTTAAAATTAATTACCAGCTAAATAAATAAATTTTAAAAATGAAAATAATAGTATTATTGGCGTTGATTTCAATAGTTTGTGCGGATTTTGATATCAAAGACTATAAAGATGTGATAAATTCACGAAACTTTACGGGAAAAGTAGTTTTAGTGACCGGAAGTAGTTCTGGAATCGGGGAGGGGATCACTAAACTCTTCTCTATATTAGGGGCCAATGTTGTGGTCACCGGTAGGACAGAGTCTGAAGTTCAGAGAGTTGCCAAAGAAGTGCAGGAATTGTCGCCAAAGAAACTAAAAGTTTGTATAAAATTAAAAATAATAAATATTGAAATATTTTTAAAATTTATTGATAACATCTAACAATTGTAATTTGAAGTCATATTAAATTTGCAATTATACTGAACAGCCATTAGAAGTGGTTGGAGATCTCACCAAAAGTGGTTTCATCACTAATTTAGTTCAACAAACTGTCACAACATTTGGCAAATTAGATGTATTGGTGAACAACGCCGGTATATTTAAGACACTAAACATCACCCAAACAGACGTAATGCAAGTTTGGGATCAGCTATGTTAAACATTGTTAAATATAAAATACTAATTGTGGCCATTCGGATACTTTTATTATTGGAAATTATTAGTAATATAATGTAGAAAATTACTGTCCTATCAAAATTATCAGTATCGATTTTGTGAAAAGAAAGCCTGCTACTCAGGAATTCGTGCTATTTTTGTATTCATAAACTATAGGGCTTTTATCCATGGAGTCACAAAATAATTTTTATTATTATAAAAAATATGCTGGTTATTTTAAATCTGTATAATGGGTATACATAATCACCCTCCTAATCCATGGATTAATATATAAAATATTGACTTACGCGCAGATATATTTTCTGAAAAAGTTATAATGGCTTGGTAGATTGTGTAGTTTTTAAAATAAAAACAACATGAAAATTATGATCTTTAAAATGAACTATAGCACAATAAATCTACCAAGTGGTTCTCGTACAAATAACATTTGAAATGAGGAATTTTAATAAGTCAATGGAAAATACAATTGAAAATTTTTAAGCAACAATTACAATACAAAGAATTGTAGCTAGTTAAAAATGTTTTATGACGACATTTATGCAGATTTCATAAGTTTTCAAATGAGATATCGTACGGTAGGATGGCTATCGTAATTCTAGATTTATTAATGATAAATAACTTATTATCATTTATAATATAAATTTTATATGGACTAAAATAATTTTATGCTAAATGATAATAAATCTAGAATTACGATAACTATATTTTTTAAATAAAAATTTTAAAGCATTATAACATTTCATAGTGATTTATTATAAATTCATACAATACATAAACTAAGCAGTAATATAATTAATTAAAATAGTGCTTATAACACAAATTTATTTTATTTTTAAAATTGTGTTAAAGATAACAGATATTGACTCAGAAAGTTAAGTATACAATTTGATAATAAATATATTTCATGATTATATGGGAAATCAAACATATTCAATAAATAATTTTCAAGTGTTATATACAGATATTGCACATATAAAATGGTCAGAATTTAAAACTTTACTTTACTCATTATTTGTATGTTAGATTGATAAGTTAATTTGAAAATGAAAATAATAGTATTATTGGCATTGATTTCAATAGTTTGTGCGGATTTTGATATCAAAGACTATCTCGATGTGATAAATTCACGAAACTTTACGGGAAAAGTAGTTTTGGTGACCGGAAGTAGTTCTGGAATCGGGGAGGGGATCACTAAACTGTTCTCTATATTAGGGGCCAATGTTGTGGTCACCGGTAGGAAAGCCGATGACGTCCAGAGAGTTGCCAAAGAAGTGCAGGAATTGTCGCCAAAGAAACTAAAGGTTTACAAAAATAGATTAATTCTTAATTATAAATGTAATTATACTGAACAGCCATTAGAAGTGGTCGGAGATCTCACCAAAACTGAAGTCATCAAACTATTGGTCGAAAATACTATTAAAACTTTTGGCAAATTAGATGTTTTAGTAAATAACGCCGGAATATATTCAGGGACAAACATTACACAAACAGATGTAATGCAAGTTTGGGATCAGGTCTTCGCCATAGACTTGAGAGCAGTCGTCGAACTAATCCACGAATCGGTTCCACATTTGGAGAAAACTAACGGAACTATTATTCAAACCTCGAGTATTGCGGGAATTCGTCCGGTATATACATTAAACTAATAATCAATTATCAGTTTATATTTAACACAACATATTATTTGTCAATTCATTAATTATTATAAATATTAGCCAAACACTCAAAGTCTAGCGTACAGTCCCGCAAAAGCAGCCTTAGATATGTTGACTCGAGTACTGGCCCTCGAATTAGGACCCAAAGGCATTCGTGTCAACAGTTTAAAGTACTTAACACTAAAATTTGTTATCATTTAAAAATTTCATTAATCATATAATTTTAAAAATAATTTCAGTCCCGGTGCTACTCAGGTGGACAAAACCGGTGATCCGGGTGTCGCAAAGATAACGCCATTGAGACGAGAGGGACAACCATTAGATATGGCGAAAGGGGTGGCATTCCTGGCCTCAAGTGATGCCTCATTCATAACCGGCGCTAATCTGGTGGTCGACGGCGGACTTATTTATTCACTTGCTAACATGTATTCACATAATAATTAAGATTAAAAATAAACTTTATCTCGGCAATATAAACATTAGAACATTTTTAAAAATAATTTTTGAAAACAAATTAAACTTAATTATTTCATATTAATATAGTATCCACTAATAAAAAATTAGTAAAATATTTTATTTACAAATATAATAAATAAATAAAGTATGATATTAGCTTGTGTCATCTATATTTGAACTGTGCTTTAAACACAAGTTATTATTTGTATAATAATTATTATTATTAAGAGATCTTCGGTTTGTAATGAATTAAATGATTATAAAAATTATTTATTACACGAGTTTTATAGTCTATAAATTATAGCCCATACGCACAGCATATGCTAACAAACTATACATTTAGAGATTTGTACGATAAGTTTACTTTATCAGCAAATTAATTGATTAAATGTTCAGCAAAACTGTACTTAAGAAACAAAACTAACTTAAATTTTGAGTTTATTTTATACGAAAACTTTGTGTAATTGTAACTTTTAAGATAACAAGAACATCAGATTAGAAATATCAAACTAGCTAATCCCTATAAAAGACTGTGGTATTATGTATTATTATCATTTTTATTTTAAATCTATACAGTACATTTGCCCAACACAGTACATGAATTAATATTAATATAATATATTATAGTAAATTGATTGGAGTGCATTATGATATTAACAATAGATTACTACACAAAAATGTTTAGTGTATTGATTGTAGTTTTTTTTATATATAAGTGTAATTTAAACATTAAAGGTTTATAAAATCATATTTACTAAACAAATTATTTGAAAATGAAATTAATAGTATCATTGGCATTGATTTCAATAGTTTGTGCGGATTTTGATATCAAAGACTATCTCGATGTGATAAATTCACGAAACTTTACGGGAAAAGTAGTTTTGGTGACCGGAAGTAGTTCTGGAATCGGGGAGGGGATCACTAAACTGTTCTCTATATTAGGGGCCAATGTTGTGGTCACCGGTAGGAAAGCCGATGACGTCCAGAGAGTTGCCAAAGAAGTGCAGGAATTGTCACCAAAAAAACTAAAGGTTTGGATAAAGTTTATTAATACTTAATTTCAATACTAAATACAATTCAAACAAACAGCCATTAGAAGTGGTCGGAGATCTCACCAAAACTGAATTTATTGCTACTTTGATCGCAAATACTATCAAAACATTTGGAAAGTTAGATGTTTTGGTGAATAATGCGGGTATATATCCGGCGGCAAACATAACTCAAACAGACTTAATGCAAGTTTGGGATCAGGTCTTCAACACTGATTTGAGAGCAATCGTGGAATTAATCCACGAATCGGTTCCACATTTGGAGAAAACTAACGGAACTATCATTCAAATATCGAGTATTGGGGGAATAGCACCGGTATTAATGATTACAATATGGTTGGATTACAACATTTTTAAAATTAATATTTTTATTTTATAAGTATATCCAAAATCTTGCAACCGGTACCGCAAAAGCCGGCTTAGATATGTTGACTCGAGTACTGGCCCTTGAATTAGGACCCAAAGGCATTCGTGTCAATACTATCAAGTAATTTAATTCAAAAAGTTTTAGCAAACTATTACTATTTCTTAATAATAATTATTATGACTTGTAATATAATAGTCCGGGTACAACACAAGTGACTGATAAGGTGGACCCCGTATCAAAGGCTGCCACACCACTCAAGCGTTTGGGACAACCATTAGATATCGCCAAAGGGGTGGCATTTCTGGCCTCAAGTGATGCCTCATTCATAACCGGCGCTAATCTTATCATTGATGGCGGACTTATCTATAATTATGGGGTTTTTAATACTCCATAAAGTTATTTATTAAGGAAAGATTTTGTTATTATGTGTTATAATAATATATTTTTAAATTTTATGCTATATCTAATTATTTTCTATTAATTTATAATTTTAAGAGTGTATGTTTATTTTTAAAATAAATTATACATGTATTACTGTATACACATGATCAAAATATGTTATTGAATTAATATTTATGAAAATATACTGAAATATAAATTTTCTTATTTACTAGTTTTCAATAAATTTAAATATATAATTTTAGATGATTTAATTATTTTATTATTAGAGATAATTAGAGGATGTTTAATTACTTGCTTATTTTCTTGTGAAAATATAATAATTTTATAAAATATAACTATTGGATTGTTTCAGAATTACGATTTATCATAAAAACTTTTATCAATGCACATTTTGGATTTAAGTACTGTATTCACTTAATTTAATGTACAGTATAATAAGAGATCTTAATCCCAATAAATAAAATGTTTTAATTCTGACAACACTAAAATTTGCACTTTTTGCTTTATTTCTATATAAAAATCATTTTAGTATTTCTGATATACAGTACATGTATTAATTCCGTTATGTATTTAAATTCAGAACTATGCAATAAATAAGTTCTAAAATGAAATTACGAGTATTATTAGCTTTAATTTCAATAGTTTGTGCGGATTTTGATATCAAAGACTATCTCGATGTGATCAATTCACGAAACTTTACGGGAAAAGTAGTTTTGGTGACCGGAAGTAGTTCTGGAATCGGGGAGGGGATCACTAAACTGTTCTCTATATTAGGGGCCAATGTTGTGGTCACCGGTAGGAAAGCCGATGACGTTCAGAGAGTTGGCAAAGAAGTACAGGAATTGTCGCCAAAGAAATTAAAGGTTTGAATAAATTATATTAATATTTAATTTTATTATTAAATGCAAGTATAATGAATAGCCATTAGAAGTGGTCGGAGATCTAACCAAAAGTGATTTCATTAAACTATTGGTCGGAAATACAATTCAAACATTTGGAAAGTTAGATGTTTTGGTTAATAATGCGGGAATATATCCAGGGACAAACATTACACAAACAGACTTAATGCAAGTCTGGGATCAGGTCTTCGCCATAGACTTGAGAGCAGTCATCGAACTGATCCACGAATCGGTTCCACATTTGGAGAAAACTAACGGCACTATCATTGATATCTCTAGTATTGGTGGCATAGCACCGGTATAACCAATATTTGCCTATTATTTACAATAATTAAATATAAAATTATTTATAATAGTATATCCAAAACCTGGCGTACGGTCCGGCAAAAGCCGGCTTAGATATGTTGACTCGAGTACTGGCCCTCGAATTGGGACCCAAAGGCATTCGTGTCAATACATTGAAGTAATATAAATTAATGTCCATTTTTGCAGATAATACGTCATACCATTAAATTTTTGATATTATTTTAAAATTAAATTTATTATCACTTAAATTATATGACAGTCCGGGCACTATACAAGTGACTGATAAGGTGCTCCCCATATACGATACGTCAAAGGCTGCCACACCACTCAAGCGATTGGGACAACCATT